ATTTTTAGCATTTAGGACTAAATGCTAGAGGGCAAGTGTAAGGATTTGATTTACTGGTTTGTATTTTACTATTACTACATTGCTGATTGTGTCAGATCACTATACAGTAGGACTCACAAGCACATATATTCTCATTGTAGTTAGTTACACTTCCTCCTCATGTATCTACATGTGTATACCCTTATAAAAGACAGTATTGACTACTAGGTAAAGGGGATTCTTTTCCCCTGACCCCTCACTCAAGTACTAGGTTATCCCAGTCAGTAGTTGAGTGAACTAAGAGTGATTAGAATTCTCTTGTAAGGAACAGTGAGTTTCCTTACATGTGTGCTCACCAATTGTTGCTTGTGTTGCTGAGTAGGAAGAAGTATGCAAATGTATGGAATTATTAAAGAAGTTGTTCAATATTGGTCAACAATGCAGATGTATGAATGCAAATTCAAAAAGGAAGGAACAAAGGAGAGGAAATGTAAGTAGTAGAGCAAAGAGTGGGAAGGATGAAAGGGAGACAAGAAGTTGGGAGGAGAGGGATGAGCAACTATTGTGTAGAATATTATGAAGTGGACTGGCTACTTACACTTTACATTGAAGGACAGTGTAGCCAGCTAGGTTGTGTCATTACAGGATCTGAGGCTCAGTACAGGCATTACAGTGACAGATTAGAGAGACAAGTGTAGCAATCTTTATTGTCTAAGTTGTTGCTAGTAGAGCATCTGCTAGTAGGACACTTGTGAGAGGAGGACTAGACTAGAGAGAACAGAAGCAACAACATAGTGTCAGAGGCAGAGGGTGAGACTTAGAGAGATGGTGGAGGTTGGAGGCAAGGAGTGACAAGAAGGAATGCATCATTATATGCTCTCAATCTTCAGCAGCTGATTACATAAGTGAGTGATCTTACTTATATTATTGAGTTTGTATGTACAAAATGAGTCCTACATAATACATACAATATAATAAATAGATTACTGTATATTTATATTTAACTTAAAAACTATTTACCCTTTTACAAGATAATCAGAGTACTTTTAGTATTATTATAAGTACTTAAAAAAGATTTTATTTATTTTATATATACTTAATACAGCTTAAATTAGATTTACATACTCAATATAACTCATACACATATTATATATGATAATGTCTATCTTGAAGTGACCTTATATATAATGTAATACTTGTATTTGCCTTACAAACTGTTACATATTCTGTATTCTCTTTCTATATTAAATTTACATCTTACTTTAGCTTGTATATTAAATATAAGAAAGATGTTTTAATATATAGTGTAAAAGTCTATATATAGAATCTGACTTTTTCCTGATGGTGCCCTAGCAGAAGAAGTCAGACAGGAACACAATTAAGCAAGAGTCAAATTACTCTGTAGTAAGAATTGAAGCTGCTTTAATAACATGTGTTAGGAGGCACCAAAGATTGGAGGATTGATCATTCAATGTCAACTAGGTGGTGATTGGATCATTACTATATATAGTACTTTTTAATATTTGTAAGTAGATTATTAATTATTATTGAAAAATTTCAGCCTAGCTCAGGAATTAAACACTAGACCTTATAACAGTACCTAACTACTTAACTACTGAGCTACTATACTATTATAAAATTATGTATTTTTATATATTATATTACATATTTACCTAATCCTAAAACACTGAGAAAAATATAAAAATATAATTCCTAACCTAATTTAGCCTAAATCTAACACAAAAACTAAATCTAACTTACCTACTAAACCTAATTAGGAGGCAAGCCCTCTAAACCCTCTATCCTAACATAGTATATAAGTCAAATACTTAGAAATATGTTAGGTGTATTTGTAAGCAACTATATATAGTAATATTATAATCTGATCCTTTAAGCAATCAGATCATATTATGTAGCTTCTATATATAGTAAGAATCTGATCCTTTTATTATTTGTAATTATCTAAATATAGTAATAATTTAATCTCATATGTGATTAATTATATAAACTTTGGTAATATTATGATCTGATCCTTTAAGTGATCAGATCATATTATGTAACTTCTATATATAGTAAGAATCTGATCTTTTTTACTATTTGTAACTATCTAAATATAGTAGTGATCCAATCATCACATAGTTAACATTAATGGATTGATCACTTAAACTTTGGTAATTAGTATTGGATCAGACAGTAGTACTCTACATGTAGTATATATACTTATGTGTGTAAAATTTCCTATGTATACACATACATGTGTATAATTACAGGTGTAAACTGGGTCAGTAGGACTCATATACAATATGCTACTTTTGTATACAGCATATACAGCATATACACTGTGCCAAATATAACAAGATACTTTACATTAAAATAGCTCATAAAAGTACACTATCATCTTTCAAAACAAATGCTTAATATTACTGAGCTAAGAAAATGTATTGTACAGGTGGATGTAGAAATTGACACAGTCAGGTGAAGATCATGTGATGATCAACACTGCCTTATTTAGATGAAATATGCTGTAATATTGTGTAATATTTCCAAGTAAGGCAGTGTCAATTGTTACAAGATGTTCACCTGACTGTGTCAATTTCTACATCCACCCATCA